TAAAATGAAGCGCATAAACAACAGAAGATAAACAAATACTGCCTATGGAGAGGTTAGGGATATGAAAGATTACTTCTAGGGCTGGGGATTAATTCAGTGGAAGAGTGTTTGTGTAGCATACACAGAATCTCAAACAATGGGGAGGGAGACAGGCAGAGAAAGGCAACTGAAAAAAATTACTTGCTCTCTTTAGCATCCATTGCTGCCAGCAATTTGTCACAGCCCCTCCACCACCTGAGATGGAATGCGACAGACCCCGTCGTGTGGAGGTATACGTAGCTGTGAGTTCAACTCCAAATATCTCTGTGCTGAAAGGTCCCCTCCTCTCTCCAGCCCTGGGGACCAGAACTCCCTTGTCTCAAGGAGAGGAGCCTCTGTCCAGGAGAGAAAGACAGAAGCGATGGGCTTGAGAAAGGGGTTTGTTTTCTGGGACAAAGGGAAAGAGTTGTGGTGGTGACTCTGGTTCTCAACTAAAAGACTTGCCTCTGCAGGGCTGGGAGGACATTTCCCGGAAGGATTAATTGAAGGGAGAAGACCTGACCATAGAGTGGGCAGCTCCGCCCTGCAGCGGCCCAGGTGTAGAGGTCCGAGAAGAAAGCAGTCCCGCGCCTACCTTTGCTTCTTGTTGATGTACCTGTCGTGTGTGCCTCTCCTTTTGCCACTGCCATCCTTCATTGGCGCAGGAATCTTTTCACCCTCTAACATGGATGAAAGGCCAGCAGCCCTCTGGGAAGCCTCCACATCATCTTCGGCGCCATGTTGGTATTGCTAAGGCGACCAGTCTGCGGCTGTGCTGAGCAGCTAACCAGCTTTTCAGTCTTCCCAGCAGACTGATAGCCATCTCTAGACTTCTTTAATACTTAAAGGTTTGTAGAACTTGCCCATAGGCTTCTCCCAAGTTAAAGCATGCCACTGAAGGGCCTAGCTTTCAGGGTTTGTGCAGGGAGCCTCACTAGGTTCCCTGTGAAAGAGAGGAAGCAGGTGTTTCAGTAGCAGCAGCCCGGGGTTGGATTACCTATCACCTAGCATGTAAACCAAGCTAACAAATGCCTTTTATTAATATTAAAATAATCAGTTTAGAGAGTGATTCTTGACTTTTGAAGAAACTGTTAGGTATTTTTTTTTTGTTTACATCAAATATAGCAATTTTTTAAAGGCTTGCTCAATAAGAAGGAAGCCATGCCTGATACTGGAAACCTAGCCAATTACCCAGGGCTATTGAGGTCATAGATCTTGGGGAGAACCTATAACTGCCATTTTATTAAACCAGAGTAATTCTTAAGTATATTCTAATTATTTTTCCTTCTACTCACAAATAAGTATCTAACCCCTCATCAAAGAAACATCTCTTTGCAATAGATGATCATTTCAGAAAACCACAGCCAATCAAAACGCAGAGAACAAGTAGCCATACGGTTGCCCAGCTCTAAATGATACATCTGCAACACAGCTCCTTCATCTAAAGCTGAAGGATCATAGCTGCTGAGGGCCAGAAAGGTGGTAAATCAGAGTAACGGGAAGTTCTGACATTACCTCACCTGAGAATGTCAGAGAAGCTACACTCGTGAAGTCTCATCAACATGGCTGCCTAAGCAAGGCCTGAACAAGGACGGCATCAATAGACATGCTAAGATGGAAGGGGATCTCACAGGGCCCCAACCATAGAGAAAGATAGACAGCTAAAAAACGCTGAGAGTAGGAGAAGTTGCCTTCCTCGGGGAAGGAAGAGCCCCAGATATTCAACAGCAAGTGCTCAACTCTGAAATCATACATACAAGTAATACGACATGGACTGAACAAGTTGTATTTATATGTTTAGGAATGCATGTGTGTAACCACAATAAAAACATTCGGGCCATAACTTTGAAATCATGGGAAGGGGTGGAAGAAGGAAAGGGAAAGGGGAAAACAATGTGATTATGTTTTAACTTAAAAATTTATATATAGAAACACACACACACACATACAAGGTCTCACTCTGTAGACCAGTCTGGCCTTGAAATCACAGAGATCTTCCTGGTTTTGTCTCCCAAGTGTTTGGATTAAAGTTGTGCACTACCAAGCTCAGCTAGAAAAAATATTTTTTTTTCATAAAGGAATGTAAAGAAAGAACACAAGATTGCTGGGGAATATTATTTTAAGGTGTGTGACTTTTGTTTATGCTGCATTTGTTTAACTCTGTAAAGCTTTGATTCTTTGCCTGTCTAAAGCACCTGATTAGTCTAATAAAGAACTGAATGGCCAACAGCAAGGCAGGAGCAAGGATAGGCGGGGCTGGCAGGCAGAGTATAAATAGAAGGAGAACTCTGGAAGAGAGAAAGAGAGAGAGAGAGCAAACAAGAGAACAAGGGAGGAGGACATGAGGGGCCAGCCGCCCAACTGCCCAAACACCCGGACACCTAGCCAGCCATGGGGTAAGAGTGGAAGTGAGACATACATTAGTAAGAAAAGGAAAAAGCCCATGAGCAAAAGGCAGATGGGATAATTTAAGTTAAAAAAAAAAGCTGGAAAGAAACAAGCCAAGCTAAGGTTGGACATTAATTGGTAAGAATACCTCTGTGTGTATGATTTATTTGGGAACTGGGTGCCCAGAAAGCCAAAAGAGTAAAACTTTGAACAACACAAGATAAAAAATATTTTGGTTTATAATGAAAAGAAACATTAAAATTAAAGATTAAGTAAAAGATAGGTCTTTACAAATAAAAACAGCCATCAAAGCATATAGTTACAGTCATTGCTCCTGGTTACTCTCCAGAGCGTGACGGTAAGACCCCATTGCTGACAGCACCACACAGTTTGATGACAGAATACAGAGAAACCAAGCTGATACTCACTTGGCAGCATCATCCTTTCTGGCTAGCTTCCATAGTGCTGGAATGTGCTTAGGAGGCTCCTAGCGGAGAAAAAAAAAAAAGGTCCCACTCAGCCGTGTCTCTTGCAAGCTCCAATAATCTGTGGCCTGACAGGATATGCCCATTGGTTCTATAGTGTCATGAATGCTATTGGGTAGCCAACAGCTTCCTAATTGGACTTAACATCCCATTCCACATGAGGGAATTCCTGTGTAATGTTATAAACCTCGCTAAGAGCCTGTGGTTAGGGAGGTCCTAGACCCCATGGCCACTATTTTATTAAAGGGACACAGTATCAAAACTGCCTTCTAAATACTTATACCCACAGTACAGCTCTCACTTCTCATCAGAGTCTTCTCTGTGCAGTGGTGGCTAATATAGAAAATCACAACAGGCCAAACTGCAGAGAATAGTTAACTGTGGTGTTCTCAGTCCCCAATAGGACATATATTTCACCTCCTCACTTCAGAAGGCCAGGGAACCTTGCAGAAAAGCGAGAGACAGAAAGATTGGAAAGTCCAGAGGCATGGGAAGGCTGTTGCAAAATGTCTTCTGAACATGACTATTTCACTCATGAATTCATAGAATCTGGGGTTGCCAGCATAAAAACTGTGCGAGATCAAGCCAGTCAGTGCTGCAGAGTAAAGAGGGAAGGGACACACGAGACCTCTCCCCCCCCCCCCCCCCCCGCCCCCGCCTTCATCCTAGCGGAGGCATCTTTGACTTTGATGCTCCTGGAGTGGTTGAGTCTGTTTTCTTCTATGGCGTAACCTGTGTTAGGTTACCCATGCTCCAGTAGATGGCACCCTCCAGACATGTCCCCGCCAGTAGGACTAGTTAAACTTGAAATACAAGAGGAGGAAGAGGAAGACATGATATTGGAAAGAGAATGGGGGGTTGCATGGTCCTAGAGTAGTTGAAAGCAGGATGAGGGAGAAATACTATCTAAATGCTTTGAAATCATAATGAAATTACCAAAACATCCAAAGGTGAAGAAAAGAAACTAATTCTAAAACAGTAAATTGCGAAGCGTCTATGTGGATCTCTTGGAATCTTCCAGATGGAGGGATGCCTTTTAGCTGGAATCCCTGGTATTTCCTACCATTTCACCCTGGTGCTGTATACTAGCAGAGTGCTGAGCTGGCCTGCTGTTTAGACATTGCAATCACTTTAGAAGCTTCCCTTTTTTTATTTCCCAGGAGCTAATGCTGGTTACACCAAGTTTGTGTAATGGCAAATGCTTTGTGGTCTAATCTTAGACCACTTTCTACCCTGTTTCTTAAGTATTTCATTGGGTTTTCTGAAAAGAAGGGGAAAACAGTGCACAGCTATTGTGAACTTGGAGATCTAGCACTCTGGAATTAAAAACAGACAATGTTCAAAATATCAAACTTTGCTAAATGAGTTAAGGAAATGTTTTCTTGTGTTGTTTTACAAACCCATGCCAATAAAACTGTTTGGGATGCATAGTGACAAGAGATATGGGATTCACTCAGATTTTTGTTACTTAAATTCCTTATACGTATGTGAGTGTGTGTACACGAGCTCAGGCACCGGCAGAGGTCAAGGGCATTGGATCCTCCTGGAATTAGTCTTACAGGTGACTGTGGGCCACCTGATGCAGATCCTGGAACTGACTTAAGACATTTGAGGGAGCAGTATGTGCTTTTAACTTCTGAGCCAGCCCTCCAGCCCTGAGGAACAGTTTTAATAAGTAAGAAACATGCACTGGGTGGTGGTGGTGCACGCCTTTAATCCCAGCACTCAGGATGCAGAGGCAGGAGGATCTCTGTGAGTTCGAGGCCAGCCTGGGCTACAAGAGCTAGTTCCAGGACAGACTCCAAAGCTACAGAGAAACTCTGTCTCAGAAAACCAATATATATATATATATATATATATATATATATATATATTATAAAACAAACAAAAAGCAAGTAAGAAACACTACTTAATTTGATTCATGATCACTAAAGTTTTATTTTGTATTTAAAGAGAGAAGTGGAAATGTGTAATTTATTCTCTTATAAGTTCTGCAGTAACATATTTTAAAAAGAACTTATTGAAATGGAATCATTGAAAGAGACCTTAAATGAGTAAAAGTGGAATAAAAAAAACTCCAGATTTTTCATTACAGAAGTATTAGCTAGCACTTGACGATCTTCAGAGAGCTTGAAAAGATAGCAGTATATGATGTTGCCCTTTACTGAGGCTTAGCCTTAACTAATACATCCACATCAGCTTTGTCTCCCTCTCCAAGACTTTTCGGGTTGGCATCAACAAGGACGTTTTCCTCTTTCTTGGCGGGCCTCTGGAAACCACCATCTCTGGCAGCCATTTGAACTCCAAGGCTGACAAAATTGTGCACATCTTGCAGCTTCTTTCTCAGCCATTGCATCCTCTCCACGGAGGCCAGGTGCTTGCCTAGGTTGTGCATCAGCTGTATTTCACTGACAGCTCTCTTCCTAGAAAAAAGAGAAAGAGAGGACCACGCCGTCAGCTCCTCATGCCCGCATCATAAAAACCTGCCGCAGACCCTCAAGTCCATGTCTCCCCAGTGCAGCACGGGCTGCAGCACTTACTTAACGGGTTTCCCGTCTATTTGGGCGAGAAGACAAACGGCCAGCGTGACGATCATGACTTTAGCCATCGCTGTTGCAGACATCGTCTTTACTAAAAGCAGAAGCAACATTGAGAACGTTTAGAGTACTGTCAGTGTTCTAGTTCTGGTAGTCGTTGTTCACAACCACTTAAGCAATCCGCAGTTAGCCGATGTCGCAGTGATCAGCTGAGCTGTTTTTTCATGTGTCTTTGGAATCAGCCTCTTTAAATGATGGATACATTAGTAATATAACAGGCACCCATGACTTAGAGACGTTGGCTACATGCCTTTCTTAGGTAGTTCCCTGAATTTCTTGTGCAAACTTTAACATAAAATTTTAAGCATGTGATGAGTGAAGAATTTTTTTTTCCTGTTTCTTCCCTCTTTTATGTTGGCTATTCCTACGTGTTTGTGATATGCTTGAAATTCACTAATCTATTAATTAGGTAAATTATCACTATTTAGTGAGCAAACAATGTTTTCATGATTATTTGATCCTATCACAAACAGCCATAAATACTAAATTTGTTGGGTTTTATTTTTATCATGAGATCTTGCTATGTATCCCAGGCTGACCTTGAAGTTACAATCCTCCTGCCTTGGTTTCTGGCACATTGGGGTTTCAGGCATTCGCCCCCATGTCCAAATATAAGGTTTAATTTTGATGTCTTTATTAATAATGTACACACCTCTTACAATGACAAAAATGTGTGTTATGGCTAGGAGGAGGCTCAGGTAGTAAAGGGCTTGCTGTACAGTCATGGACTTGAACTCAGACCCCAGCACCCACAGCAACAGGGCACCTGTAATTCTAGTATTGGGAATATTTCAAAAAAATAGGTGGGGAATGAGAGACGAAGACATCCAACATTGACCTCTGGCCTCATATGCACACACATATCCATATGTGTGTGATTATACACGCACAAATATGGCAATGCATTTAAAATCAATTAGTTTCGTATATCTTGTTCTTGGAACTTTGACCCTTAAATAATGAGTGTCTGCATCTTACGACTTCAACTTAACAGTTACAGCTTAGTATAACTTCTAGTTCTTTCTTCTTGCTCATAAGTCAATATGTATATTTTTGGCTTAATCTGTAGGTCCACAGTTGCAGAGATTTATTATAGTAGCACCTTTAAAAAATAGTAACTATTCTACTTTTTAAGTGATGCACACAATAGGAATTATTTTTCTTTGTAAAAAAGAAACTGCATCCTTAAAAGAAGCATGAGACCTTCTAGTCTGCTCCGCTTCTCATCACTGCACACTGCACAGTTATGGATGGATGGAGTAATGGGAAAAATCTAGGCTCAGTCACAAGCACTGGAGCACAAGGACAGGAGCATTGATGTTTAGTCCTATCAGTTCAGGTGACCTAGTGACATCTCCGCTTTATTTCTTGTTCTTTTGAGGAGGGAAGACTTCTTATATAGGGATGCCATGAAAAGAGCTGGAAAGACCGTGGAGCATCCTTAAATGCCTGCACAATTTCAAATTAGAAAATGCTGTTCTTTATGTAAAAGCCATGAATATTCAACAGTGAAAGGAAAATTTTGCAACCTTAGTATGCAGGCTAAGCTCCTTAGAAGCCATAGCATTTAAAATATAGATAAGAATACCCTACAGGAAAATAAACATACACTCCACATGATAAATTATTGTTAACTTTTTACATCAGAATTATTGTCTCTCTACCAGCCTGCTTTTTATTCCAAATTTTTGAATAATAATAAGGAGGAGGAGGTCGCTGAAGTGTATCATGCTAACATTCATCAATTTTCTGTATTTTCAGGTGGTTTTGCAAGAAGCTTTCATCATAAGAATAGATGATTCATGATTTTCTTACCATAAATTTTTTTATTGCTATATTTAGCAAAATTCATCTCCCCTTAAGAGTTTACAATAAAAATAGCATAATGTTGGCAGAAAAATGGTATTAAAACCTTGTTCAATTATCTAAATCTCACAAAATCTAAAAGGGCAATTAAGAGGTGGCCTTACCATGCAATGACTTCAGAAATGATCCTTCGGGAGTGCCACCGACTGGTGTTGTATCAAACTGCAGTGAATGAGATGATGGTGGATGAACTGGGCTGCAGCTCCTCAGATCTGCACTTCTTATGTAGGCCTTGGCTCACCCAGGGAGCATTTTATTGTTAAAGATGATGTCACACCCAGGTCTCTGGATCTCAACCATAGGACCCGGGCAGCCGCGTACCCTCATTGGGTGGTGCCTACTCCTCTAGAGTTTCAGATAATTAGATAAGAGAAGAAAAAGAGCAAGGTGTTGGATAAAGGGTCTACAAAAGGAGTTGCAGCAAATACTGAGCACCATGCCTAGAAAAATCTGACATAACTGATGATACTGAGTTTATATATATTATATATTTTAAATATCCAAGACAGAGTCTCACTATGTAACCCTGTCTGGCCTAGAACTCAATATGCAGACCAGTCTGGCCTCAAACTCACATAGGCCCCCCCTGCCTCTGCTTCATGAGTGCTGGGATTAAAGGCATTTGCTACCAGGCCTTGCTGCTCACAAGTTTTGATTCCAAATATTTATGATAAAATTATTCCAGTATTGAAAAATACAGTTTAAACTATATTTGTTATCTTTATAGCCATATTATAAATACATACACTTGTCTCCTTAAGAAATCATCCTTTTTTACAAGCCATTTCCAACCAATTCATATCACCTTTGATCAGTTTTCCAAAACATATTTTTTGAAAACATATATATTTAATGTATATAAGGCTAGGGAGATGGCTCATTGAAAACATATATATTTAATGTATATAAAGGCTAGGGAGATGGCTCATTGAAAACATATATATTTGATGTATATAAGGCTAGGGAGATGGCTCATTGAAAACATATATATTTAATGTATATAAAGGCTATGGAGATGGCTCATTGAAGAAAGCACAAGCGTGAGGACCTGAGTTCAGGTTCCAGAACCCATCTAAAAGCCTTCCACCAATAGTGCAGGTACTAAGATCAACAAATAATAAATGGGACTCCAGGACACTGAAAAGCTTCTGTAAGGCAAAGGACACCATCAACAGGAAGTGGCAGCCTACAGAATGGGAAAAGATTTTCACCCACTCCACATCCAAAAGAGGACTAATAGCCAAAACATGTGAAGAGCTCAGGAAACTAAACATCAGCAAACCAAATAATACAATTAAAAAATGGTGTACGTATCTAAACAGGATTATCAATAGAGAAATCTCAAATGGCTGAGAAACACGTAATGTTCAACACCCTTAGCTTAGCTATAGGGGAAATGAAAATCAAAACTACTTTGAGATTCTATCTTATACCTGTCAGAATGGTCAGACAAAAACACAAGTGACAGCTTTTGCTGGTGAGGATGTGGAGTAAGGGAAACACTCCTCCACTGTTGGTGGGAATGCAAACTTGTCCAGCTACTTTGGAAATCAATATGGCAGTTCCTCAGAAAATTGGGAATTGATCTACCTCAAGACCCAATTATACCACTCTTGGGCATATATTCAAAAGATATTCCATCCTACTACAAAGATACTTGTTCAACTATGTTCATAGCACTGTTATTCATAATAGCCAGAGACTGGAAATAACCCAGATGTCCCTCAACATGGGACATGAATAAATAGAATGTAGTATATTTATATTCACACCATGAATATTAAAAAATGGCATCATGAAATTTCAGGCAAATAGACGGAACTAGAAAAAATATCATCCTGAGTAAGGTGACTGAGACCCAGAAAGAAAAACATGGTATGTACTCACTAATAAGTAGATAATAGCTGTGAAGTAAATGATAACCATGCTGTAATCCAAAGGCCCAGGGAGGCTGAGTAACAAGGAGGACTCGAAGGGGGAATGCATGGATCTCCATGGGAAGGGGAAATAGAATAGATTTTGTGGGTGGACTGGGGCAAGCTGAGATGGCAACAGGAGGGACCAGGTTGTCAGGGAGGGATACAGGGAGAAACTGGAGGGTATCTGAGGGCCAATGTGGAAACCTTAGGCAGGAGAAACTCCCAGGCATCCATGAGGCTGACGCTAAAGGAGGATTCCTAGTAATGGAGGACATGGAGCCTGTACGGGACTTCCGTAACAAGGTAAGGCTTCCAGTGGTGGCACTGGGACACCAAAACAGCCACAAAACCTTTGGCCTACATTCTATTCTGCCTGCAAGATGTGCTGGGGCGATGGATGTGCAGAACTTGTGGAAGTGGCCCACCAAAGACTGGTCCCATGCCGTGAGAGAGAGCCCATGCGTGACACGGCCTCAATGGCCGGAATAGCCCAGAGACCTAAAATAGATGGGTTCTGTGTTGCAAGGGTCAGTTGAAGAAAGAGGGTCACTCCAGAATGTGATTCAGGTTCTCTGGAAGCAGGGAGCAAGTTCCTATGAATTGAACCTCGAAGTGCTGTGCAAAGGCCTGTTTATTAATTGTTACACAAAGTCGTTTTAGGGGTAAAACAAGTTCCTCATACCAAAGCCCTGATCTAATCTTTCCAAAGGAAAGCATCATACCTCTGCAATGTTAGTACTTATTGTGTAATGTGTGCAGTACCCATTAATGCAAGCCACTCCAGGTGTGCCAGGACTGTCTTGTGACCAAAGTCATACAAAGGCTGTGTACTGGTTGGTTTTGTGTGTCAACTTGACACAAGCTAGGGTCATCAGAGGAAGGAACCTCAGTTGATGAAATGCCCCAATGAGATCCGGTGGTAAGGCAGTTTCTCATTTAGTGGTCAACAGGGGAGGGTCCAGTCCATGGTGGGTGGTGCCATCCGGGGGCTGCTGGTCCTGGTTTCTATAAGAAGTTGGGCTGAGCTACCTGGAGCTTGTAAAGCGAGTGGTAGCATCGGAGCCCAGTGGAACTGGTCAGGATGATCACGGACACGCAGCTCGCCATCTTCGCCAACCTGCTGGGTGTGTCGCTTTTCTTGCTTGTGGCTCTCTATCACTATGTGGCTGTCAACAATCCCAAAAAGCAGGAATGAAAGTAGCGTTTTCTCCGCCCCAGGGTTCCAGGACACAGTCTGAGGCAAGATGAAAGGTGTGAGGGTCCTTCACACTTCACTTCATCTCTCCTACCCATCACAGCATACAAAGCAATTACACTTGGGTTTTTCCAAACAACTTTTATTTCCTCAAAGTCTTCCTTAACCCTATGGAACAAGAAGCTGCCACTGAATAGGGCCCAGTATAGGGGCTGCTTTCTTTTCTACTCCCTCCCTCCAATACTAAAATATAGATATATATTTTAAAAAAAGAAGTTGGGCTGAGCAAGCCATGGGAAGCAAGCCAGTAAGCAGCTTCCCTCCATGACCTCTGCATCAGCTCCTGCTTCCAGATTCCTGCCCTGTTTGAGTTTTTGTCCTGACTTTCTTCAGTGATGAAAAGAAATGCTGACGTGTAAACCAAATAAATTCTTTTCTGGCCAACTTGAATTTTTGGTCATGGTGCTTTGTTCAAGCAATAGAAACCCTAAATAAGACAATCTGTAAAACACCTCTAGAAAAAAACCTCTATAGATGACAGAAAACAATCACTGTTTTCCATAATGATTTATTCAAGGTCTAAGTACTTCTAGAAAACAACTATTAGCTGGGCAGTGCATACCTTTAACTACTCCAAAACCTGCCTCTGCCTCCCGAGTGCTGGGATTAAAGGCGTGCGCCACCACCGCCCGGCTAGCTTGGTGTTCTTGTGAGACCCCCTAACAGTGAGAGAGGAGGTGTCTCTGGCTCTTTCGCCCAGCTGCTCTTTTCAGACTCTATTGGATTGCCTTCCCTAGCCTTGATATGAGGATTTGTTCTGCTCATATCCCTGGGAAGCCTGCTCTTTTTTTTTTTGACACAGTTTATGCTTATAAAAGTGGAAATGGTGGAATTCAATGACCTTATGACCCCCCAAGCCTCTTTAATTCTTACTACCTCAGTTTCCTCTTAAAATGTAGTCCTTTCCACCCCAGTTTTCTTGACTTCAATTTGCCTCATGCTTTCTCTCGTCCTGAGGATTCAGTCCTGATTTTCACATTCTGCAACTGTTGATCGAGATACTCTAACAGTACCCGATGCCGTCACTTGCCTCCCGTCAGCTGTTGCTTCTCACTGTCTAGAATGCTTCTATGTCCGTGATACAACAGCAGCTTATTCAGGTGACTTGCCTCTCAGCTAGAGAGCCGTTTTCAGAATCAGGTCAGTTTTCTTGTCTCAGGTCCCACCCAGGCTTCATCCATCCTCTTGCTGTTAACCGTTGCCAAAGTACGACTGTGCTCAGGTAAGGATGAGTATGAGTTTGAACAGCAGGGAATAAAGGAGAAGAGGAATGTTAGACACATGTTAGTGCTGTTCTAGGAAACTGTCTATACTGGGCAGGTCTCTCTTGGAGTGTGCTCCAGGCTTTCCTTTAGAAATTTTAAAGACAGATTTGAATGTATCCTGAAGACGTTAATTAGCTTGGTGAAAACTTGAACAATAAGGCATATGAAAGTGGTTGAGCGGCACTGAAAATGCCTTGGGATAATTATATAGCGGCAGATTGTTCTCTACAGAGCTTATAAGAGGGCTGTGACCTAGGTTTAAGAAGCAAAGACTGAAATTTAAAAGAAGTTGGGAAGGATGGACAGACTCAGTTGATGGCTAATGATTTGGGCTTAATTTGGACATTATAATTGTCAGAACAGGGAATCACACACCTCCTTAAGTAATGCATTTCCCAACAACGGAAGTTTCTAGTGAAAGCTAGCTGAGCATTCATCAGGCATTGTATGAGGCTCCCGCATGGTAAAGGATTGAGTTCTATAACCAACCCTTTCAACCATAAAATCCTTTCTGGCTTGTTTTCCCTTTGTTGTGCTGGAAACCAGATGGAGATCTCTGTGGTGCTAGGCAAGAGTCCACCACTACACACCTCAATTCTCTTTTGGTCTTTTCAAATGACTCTTCTGGCGCTTGGGATATAGGCCCCCTATGCATGAGGGATCTTGATTTGCCCTCCCTGAGTTCTGCAAACAAGCCAAACTCTTTTGAAACAAAGTGGGCACGGTTCTGTGTTGTTTTCCCATGATGTTCTGGTGACAGGAGAACTGGAAAGGCACATGGTTAAGGAAACACTTTTGTCACTGAAGCCATGCTTAACATTCTGATTTTAAGATTTTTTTTTTCAATTCTTTGGGTAAGCTTGTGGTAATAGACATAACCATACTCTGATTCTTTCTCCTATCACACTTACTTAGCGATAAGAAAGTCAACAGCATTATTAAGTTATTTCAGCATTTGATAATGATGAAGCAATTCTTCATCATTCGAAGGACATTGAATATATCCTCCCCTCCAGGGGCTACATTAATCAATAGATGATTAAGGCCCAGACCTTAGACTCGCCATATAGTTTGACGTAATGTGAGAAATGTTCCCCTAGAGATAAGAGCAAGGCTTATAAAAGCTCCAAGCAGGGGGTGACTGACTTCTGGAAGATGTTTTACATAGCAGTAGCTTCAAGGGTGATGATGATTTTCCCATCAGATGAAGTGAGGAAGGATGGACAGAACATCGTGCATAGAGGCTGGGAAGCCATGAAGACTGAAGACTGACCAGATGGTAGGAGAAAGAGAAGGAGACGGGCAATGGCTCTGCAGAAGTGTGGTGGGTGCTGTGTGTGCTGGGCTTTGTCACCCAGTGCTCTCTACGCTGGAAACTTGTGTGCGTTGGCAATATTTTTGCCCTTCAGCTGCTTTTCAAAGGACTACTTGATCTTCTTACAAATAGGAGAGATGACTGCCAAGATTTGACACATAATTTACCTAAATCATCAGTCTGTGGGATCTCAGGCAGTGAGGAGGACATCACTGAGGGATTAGAAGGCTAAGGGCTATGTGGGTACAGGAAGCTGATAGCGTGGTAGCAGAGAAAAGCTGAGCATGATGTTTTTTGCTTTGAAAACCTCAGCTTTTCTTTTTTCAGTTATATTCTAAAATTCTCAGAAGTCAGGTTTACCCAACCTAGTGTAGCCCTTACAGCTGTGGAAAGAAAGGACCATGTGCTGTGTTCTTCGCCTTCAGGGGAGGCCCAGTTTGAGAGTGGTAGTGTTTCCTTGTTCCCCTTCTGGGAACTACTGTGGCTGTGGGACTTACCACCAAGCAAGAGCTTTTCCAAGACTGGAAAAACACTAACGCCATGCTTTGTGTGTAGATTGGATCACACCTAATTTTTTAAGAAAATTGTTGGAAAAGAACTGCTGCATCACAAAGAGCTGCATACACTTAATATGAACAGTTTGGCCATTTCAGACATGTGCACACAGGCATGGATACCACCGTGGCCAATGGAACACACACCTTCTGAAAGCTCACTTTGTCTTACAATTTTACCTTAGATAGAGTCTTGCTATGTAGCCCAAGTTGGCCTCAAACTCCCAGAAGTCCTCCCATCTCAGCATCTCCCCAGTGCTGAGATTACAGCAATGCTCAACTATGGCTGGCTCCTCCCACTTTCTTTTTCTAAAGAATGCTGAATATAAAATCCACAACTTAATATTGGTACCTGAGCCCTATGTTGTGTATCTTCTGGACAGTGTCTGTCTTCAGGCTGACCCACTGGCTTGTCTGTCATGAGCCCCTCTATGGGTTATAAAGTTCTGAGCTCTTTTTGATCTGACAGAAGAAATGTTTCTCCCTGCATCCACTCACCAGCGTCAAACCTATTTGTACTTAAAGATAATAAACAATGCTTAACGTGACTTAGAAAATAATAGCAGATGAATTTTAAAACTTATTTTTGTAATAGTCTGTTCTCTTAATGTTGTGTGTGTGTGTGTGTATGTGTGTGTGTGTGTGTGTGTGTGTGTGTCTGTGTCTGTGTGGAGAGAGAGAGAGAAAGAAAGAGAGGGGTCATAAGTCAATAATGGCCATTTGCTTTAATCATTATTCCCCCTATTTTTCGAGACAGCACATCTCATTGAACCTAGAGCTCACTGACTTAGCTAGTCTGACTTGCAAGCAATCCATGGACATTTCCTGTCTTTTCTTCCCTACCTGAGTTTGCAGGCATATACCAGCTTTGACATGGTGGCCAGCGATGGGATTTGGGTCCTCAGGCTTACACAGCAGGCAGTTTACTGACTGAAACATTTCTTCAATCTGTTGTTTTATCTTTGGCACAGTGACTGTGCCTTAATCTACTGCTATTTCAGCCAGCAGTTGAGATTTTTTCGGTTACCGGCCTGCTTCTCTGGCAGTGGCCTGGGCTTTCAGGCTGCAGCCTGGCAGGAATTCTGTCCCCGCAGGCACTAGTCCTGCCATTGCTGCTGCCACTGAAGATAGCTTTAACTAAATCTCTATTATTTTATTTATAAATAAAATTTGAGAATCAAAGGCTAGGGTGAAAACCTGCTAGTTCAGAAGGTTGAGTTGCACTGAGTTCATCTCTCCTTGCTGGCATCTCCCACAGGGAGCACCCTTTTAGTAGGTCTCTCTCTCTCTCTTCCAGATGCCCTCTGATGCTCTATGATTTCTTTCTGTCAACTAGTTGCTAGCTCAACTTCCTGACTCAAGGTTAATTTTGTTTAATTAATGCAAATGCTAACTCTGGGTTCACAGTGTGATCGAACATCCCCTAACAGCAACCCCTATTTTATTTTCTCCACATAACCTGTTTCTCTTGTTGGAGTCTTGCTCTTGTAACTCAGGCTGGTTTTCTATTTATTTATTTATTTATTTATTTATTTATTTATTTATTATTGAAGATTTCTGCCTCCTCCCCTCCACTGCCTCCCATTTCCCTCCCCCTCCCCCAATCAAGTCCCCCTCCCTCATCAGCCCAAAGAGCAATCAGGGTTCCCTGCCCTGTGGGAAGTCCAAGGACCACCCACCTCCTTCCAGGTCTAGTTAGGTGAGCATCCAAACTGTCTAGGCTCCCACAAAGCCAGTACGTGCAGTAGGATCAAAACCCAGTGATCAGGCTGGTTTTCAACTCAATATGTCAAGCTGGTTTTAAAC